GTCTATTTGCATATGCATACCCATATCATTGTCAAGACACAAATTAGAGCATCTTGTAATTTGATTTTATACCTATAAAAAGCTAACAATATAAAAATGACTTGGAGAACTTTTCATATCAATACAAGCAGACTATTTCATTCTATTTTAGTGTCTACATAAAATTTTACTCTATGGTTATGTCATAATTTTATTAGCCACAGTCCTAGCATGGACATATAGATTGTTTTGAATTGTGTTTGTTTGTCTTGCAGTTATACATAATATCACATAGAATGTTTCTTGTGGATATAGTACATTATATTTGTTAGGATATATCTGTAGGACAATTTCCATGAGTGGAATTGACTGCCAAATGGTTTGTGCATTTTTCTTGATAAATGTTAAAATGTATCACCTTTTGGTTTATTCTCTAGTGTTTTTGTTAATATTTACAGGACTTCTGCCTCCCCTGTCCCAACCTCACTTTTATAATCAATCAATTACCGAATATATAAGATTATAGTAAGTCTTGAGACCGGCAGGTGGTGTGGTGGTTAAGGGCACTGGACTCCCACGTAGCCAGCCATAGTTGAGTCCTAGACCCAATGACTTCATTTCTCATTTTCTCTCCTCTCTCTCTCTCTCTCTCTCTCTATCTCTCTCTCTCTCTCTCCCTCTCTGGTCAAAATTTAAAATAAATAAATAAAGTAAAATAAAATAATTATTTTTAAAAGATTATAGTAAGAATTATACTACTTAGTAAAACTGGATTTATATTTTTCTGTCAAATTTATGATGGGGGGACACATATTGCTATTCATAAATGAGGATGTTAGATTTTTCTGAACTCACCATATCTATACAGAAGTACTGATATCTAATGCCTAGCAGTTTTGCATGTGTGATAAATTATAAATGCTGATTTTTATGCCATACATTCTGTTGTGATGTATTTGTCAAATAAACACTTTTATTAACTATATGAGCAGCTAAATACGCATTATGGAGAACATAGAGTATCTATAAAATACAGCCTTTAACCTAAGAGATTGGCCATGGGATGACATGATCCTCTCTATTTTTTTCATGGAGTGAAATATTGGTATATATATATATATATATATATATAATTTAATGTATAAAATATTTTTAAATAATTTATTTTTTAAAAAACTCTATTTTTTTTTAGTAATGTCACTATGAATATTAAAAACAAACAGATTTGGGACCAGTAGATGGCATACGGGTTATGTCACTGAACTCCCATGTAGTCAACCACAGTTTAAGTCCTGGACATGGAAGCTTAAAGCTCACACTAGGCATATGTGCATTCATGCCCAAAATCCCAAGAGGGAAATGGTGTAAAAGAGATTACAATATGGCTCGTCACTGTCCCTATCTGTATGCTGGGTGGCTACAGGGCTCTACTTTCTGCCTGGAACCCTGGAGGAAGGGAAAGGGAGTGGCAGAGAGGACAGAGGAAAAAGTAATTCTGTGCTATCTATTCATGATCTATTTATTTATTTATTTATTTATTATTGAGATGTGAGCTTCCCCCATGGGGAGTGATTTTCACTTTCCCTCTCTCTGTCTCTCTCCTATGAGTGCACATGTCTTATGGTAAAAATCTAAAAAAAATTAAAATTATAAAAACAGATTTGAAACTTTATTTTAAAACCAGTATTGCTTTTGCTAGAAAAAAAATTGGAACATTATAAAGATACATAATAATTAAATATAAATTTAAAAAGTGAAAAGAATAAAATAAATTTTAAAAAACTTTTATAGTCCCTGGACTCCCATGCAGTCAACTGTAGTTAGAGCCAGAACTGGTGACTTTAACTCACACCAGGCACGTGTGTGTGTGTATTCCCAAGATCCCAAGAAGAGAATGGAGGAGAAGGGTTGTGGTGTGGCCATCCCCCTAGGGGGCAATTTCTCATTTTCTGTCTCTCTGTCTCTCTTTGTCTTTTTGGTGAGCACAAGCACCCTACAGCAAAAACCTCTAAAACAAATAAACAAAACCCTTGTATAGCTAAATTTTTTTAAACTAAACATTTTCAAGTATTTAATAAACAAGTAGAAAAGTTAAATGTGTAAACATGAGAAATTAAACCATGAAAATACAGTTATTTCTCACTGTCCATGGATTCCATACTTGCAATGTGTTACCAATTTGGTATGTGAAAAATAATGTCTCATTTACTGTAATGTCACAAAGTCCATTTTAAGAATCCCTATTGCTTTTTTAATGCCAGTCTCTGAGGAATCAAATAACAACCAAATGAGATTTCTCCTTTATGACTCCTATCAAGGGATACATTTATATGTTCTGAAATACAGGGAAGAAAACTTAGAAATCATTGGATGATGAAGATTGAGCCTCCAGAATTTCATAATTGTGTTATGGTCAAAGTCCAAGGGCAAACTGGTAGGTTATACAATTCTCATATATGCATAGGTGACTCTAACTACATACTACATATATAATACTATTTGCATTTATAGTATTAAATATGTCCTTAAATGATAAAATTTAAATGTCAAAATCAGAACTGAAAGGAGGAACCAAAAGGGAAGGGAAGGTAAAGTGAAATTAATGTGATTCTGTTAAAAATCAGAGAGCAACTATGAAGATCAATATGTCAGTATGTATTGGGAATTAGACAATAATCCAGTACCCTAGATCAAGTAGGTCATTCTTAAATAAGAGGGATCTAGATGTATTAAGCTTTTCAACTAAATAGATTAAATTATTTTACTCTTTTAATAATTATGTAATATACAGAAATTAACTTAGTTTTAGAAATAAAATTCTTTATAAAAGAGATAAATAAGAGAGAAGGTATAAAATACCTAAACCATGACTTGCAAAATCAGTATGTTACCACTCATAAAATATTAATGCTATCATTACACTTATGAAGAATTACAAAAAATAATGTATAATAAATTTAAATTTCCCTATGACAACAGTCTAAAACTGGATAATATTTAAATACTCATTAAGCTGTAAAAATATGAGAGAAGTAGTCTTATCTCAGATTCTAACTTTGTCAGGTTCATGTGCAAATGCAAATGAGCTTATCTGCATACTTCACAGAAAAACAGATGGCCCAAACATTATACCTAAGATAGAATGATTGTCTTACTATAAAAATATGAGGCACAATGAAGGAATAAAGATTAAAGCTGTCAATGAGAACTATCAAAGATTTCCACTTTCAAATGCTGTATTTTGTAAAAGAAAGAAATTTCTGATATTCTGAATGATAGTTTCAGTCATAATGATTAGAGTATTGGTCACTTAAAATAAAATATTTGTCTTAATAATAGCAACCATGAATTGAAAAGTGCATATGATTGGATGTTCATTACACTAGCTAGAGACACTGTATTTTAAACATTTAAGAATGTGATTCAAATTTAAATGTACAAAAAATATCACATATATCCGATTTTGTTCCTTGATAACTTACATTATGTCTTAGTTTAGCCTCTGATAGACAAACAAATAATTGCCCTGGAAATGAGCAACAAGCCTAGATAAGACTTGGGGAATAGAGTAGACGTCAGCTAAACAGGAGAGGCAGTGACCAAAAAAATATTAAAAGTTAAATGAATCTTGGATAATATCACTGTGAATAACCTGGATTCAGATAGGACAAGTATCTAACCACAGATGGTATAGTACTCAAACAACACTATAGCATACTCCTTCTTTGCATTTCTTTTAGGTTAGGTTAGCAAAGTTTAATGCTTTACCTCTCTCCTTTCACCACTTTAAGAGAGAAAAGTTGAACAAGACTTAAGTGGTCAACTGCACTACAGTCTAGTATTAATAACAGCAACTACTGCATGTGAATACATATATATTAAGCAAGAATATTAGATACAAATGGTTTTTTAATATAATTTTATAACAATGACTTAAAAATGGACAGACAGCATATTTTGTCAGCTACACAAACTGAATTAGGCGATATGTGAGATGTGCTCCTGTCATTGTGAGAATCTAGATCATTCAGGGCTGAAAACTGAGTACTTCCTCAGTAACTCAGTTTAATCTCATTTAACAAAATAACTAGCTCAATTTTCACCTTTATATCAACAACATAGGCATGTTCTCTTACACATTTATTTTAAGGGAGCATACTTTACATTGTATGCTATAAGAAGGTAACACAAAGGTATCAATGTGCTTCCTGAAAGCTGCTTTGATGCTTTTCAAAAGTTTTCGCTGTCACTACAATGAACTAAATGTTCATACAGCATGAACTAAAATTGAAACAGAGAAATAAAGTTCACTCACATATGCTATGATATTTTCTCATTAACCAAGAGACAAATTTAATCTAATTGACTCTATCTGCCACAAATTTCTACTGTTTTTGTGTCCTGTGAAATACTTTGAACTACATAATTCCAAGGAACATACACAAAGTTGTCACCTCCCCAAGTTTGGCTCTCTAAATAATTAAAACCAGCAGGTGGCATTATAGGTGAGTGCTAGACTCCCACATAGCTGACTATGGTTCAAGACACTAGAGACTGTGAGGAGGGTGGGAAGGGAGGGAGGGAAAAGTGGAAGAAAAGCAATCATGATGAAAAAAGAAATAAAACATTTAACAAACAGAAAAATGGAAAATTATCTGTTGATGATGATATATATGGTCATAGCTTTGATCTAATATACAGTGTATTCATCCTGGGAATAAATATTTATTTTTATATGTTGCAATGATGTGATTTTGAATGTAAAAATAAATATAATTTAAAAAAATCACTTAAAAAAAAACAAATAAATGAGAGAAAATAAATTTGTAAGTTCTTAACCTGCAAAACAATAGGTCATAAAAATAAATGATACATTAAAATAGTTTTTAAAATAAAAATAATAACTAAGATATTCAATTAAGGATTGAGTTCACTGTCTTATCAGTTAACTCAATGCTCGTCCCCATAATTTCTGTTTATTTTCTCTTTTAGACATCTGAAAAAAATTATGTGATCACCCAATGGGTATCCTAAACGGCAATGCAAGTGTTTCTGAGTTCATCCTGCTGGGAATTTCCAGTTCTCAAGAAATTCAAGTTTTATTTTTTGTAATCTTCTTTCTTGTCTATGTAGCCATCATAGTGGGAAACCTCCTCATTGTGATATCTGTGATTTTTAATAACCATCTTCATTCCCCCATGTATTTCCTTCTGGCCAATTTATCATTTTTTGATTTATGCCTTTCTTCTGCGGCAACCCCCAAAGTGATCTCAGACTTTCTTAGAAAACGCAAGACCATCTCCTTGGGGGGCTGCATGCTCCAGATGTTTTTCATGCACTTCTTCGGGGGTGGTGAGATGTCTCTCCTGATAGCTATGGCTATCGACAGGTATATTGCCATATGCAAACCTTTGCACTACAGGACCATCATGAGTCGCAGGATGCTCGTTGCATTTCTAGTGCTCTCATGGGCCATTGGGCTTATACATAGCACAAGTCAAATGGTTTACACCATAGGTTTACCTTTCTGTGGTCCAAACGTTGTGGACAGCATTTTCTGTGACCTCCCTCTGATCATCAAGCTTGCCTGCACTGAGACCTATATCCTGGAGGTTTTGGTGATTGCAGAGAGTGGGCTCCTGTCCCTGGTCTGCTTCATTCTCTTGCTCATATCCTACATCATCATGTTGGTCACCATCTGGCAGCACTTCTCCAGTGCATCTTCCAAGGCCGTGTCCACACTGTCTGCTCACATCACTGTAGTAACTCTCTTCTTTGGCCCCGCTATCTTCATCTATGCTTTTCCATTCAACAGTTACTCTGTAGATAAGTTTCTTTCTGTGTTTTACTCTATAATTACTCCCTTACTTAACCCAATTATTTACACTTTGAGGAATCAGGAAATGAAGATGGCCATTAAGAGACTGAGCAGCCAAAGTATCGCCTCCTGGATGGCCACTTAGATATTGTTTGGGATCCCTGGTTTGGAACGTGTATCACATGTGTTTGTGGTTTTAGGTATTAAATATTTTTCAAATATTTAACATTAGAATGCTACATAACATCAATTTTATTCACTCCAACTTCCTACAGTTAAGATATTATTATTTAAGATTTTTAATGGAAAATATTCATAACAAACAATGTTTATATGTATACAATTTTATGCATCTTGTCTTAAAATGTTTACAATATGTAAATATAATATTTCTAAAAATTTTATGTCAATTAAGGTTCAAAAGTAGAAAATTTCAGTAAGAGAAGATGGTATTTAATGTAAATTTCTATTTAAAAGGTTTTGTTTTTAACTTAATTGGTATTAAAATATCTCTTAATTGGTATTAAAATATGTTAACCTTATGGAAGTTTTTCAGTGAAATTAGGAATTCAGCTAGGATGTATAGAACATGTTTTTACTCTGTGGCTATAGTACATTTATCATTCTTGAAGAGTATAAAAATATGTTTAGAAATAAACATTTCAAATACAAATAGTTTGGTACACAAATAGTTTTCTTAGTATTTAGAATTTATTTAAATGTTAAAAGTTAAAACCAAGCCCTTGTTACTCTATGTTCTAATACCAAACAACTTGGATTAGTTAATGCTCTTTTAAATGAATTTATTCACTCGGAAACCAATTTTTAAATATATATTCACTAGGTAATACACTCTTTTTGTCTTTTTTTAAAAGTTTTTTCTTTAAGACTTCTGTACTTGATGGAAAAAGACTGAAAGAGAAAAAAAAATTGGAGGAGGATAATTTCCTAGGGGGAATGGCCACACTGCAATCTCTTCTTCATTTTCCTCTCAGGATTTTGGGTATACATGCACATATGCTCAATGTGTATTTCAAGTCTCCAAGTCTAAGACTCCAGCCATGCAGGTGGCCGTGTGGGATCATACAGCTTTGACCTCCAGGTCATCTGCTGGCCCCAAATACAGAGGCCAACCGGTAGATTGTAAATGATAGGGACTTGGTCCTTGCCCTAGAGAGGATAAAAAGAAATGAGACATTGAGGCTAATCATGGCATATTCAGAAGACCACTATAGGGAAAAGACAGCTAATCTAAAGCACTAGGAAAGCTATATAATTAAACATTCAAGAGGAAAAATAGTATGGCAAGGATAAGGGCCAGTCTATTCAAATATTGTGGAATAAGAAAAAACTTGTAGGCACTGAAGGTAGAGCTTTATTACAGAGGTTGATGAAGAAAAGGAAGAAAGAAGAATGCTGATATTTTATATAAGGGAAGACACCAGAACATGAAAACTTCACAAATCCTTTTTCATTGGAAATTCAAACCAGTAACGGGTTTTCTATACCTGAGGGAAGAGATTTAATTTAAATGTTGATATAGCTCAGCCTGCACTATGACTTGATTGTTAAGGTAGCTAAATCTTTTCCTACATGTTTCAAGTCCCAGACCCAGCAACTTGAGAAACATGCTGGGTGCATGTGCATGCGTGCCCAAAGTCCATAAAGGAGGAAGAGATGGAGGAGAAGGAATTGTGACATAACCATTCCCCATAGACCTGCTTTCAAAAACGTTTGACACTGTCCTCTTAAGTGAATAATATACTGTAACAGGGAATACGTAATTGGCTCTTGCAGTTAGGCTGAACTTGTTTAATTATACTAACAGTGAGTTCATTGAAAATTTACAATGAGGTCTTCTAAAGGTAAATACAAAACCTGAAATTATGGAAAAATTCAGTAGGGCATCTCATAAGGTGATATCTTTACCTTATAGAAAATGTGTCTGGAAAAGCAAATGTATGTTCCCTCCCTATTCCTTGTTCAGTATTTTTGCCTTAAATTTAAACTTAGACCCAGTCTATTAAAAAATTAGACTTACTCTGGAAAATTCAGGTGACTTGGTAATCAAGTCAGGGCATCCAATTTGTGTACAAGCTATCTTTCCACTTTAGTTAATAAAGGGTGTATTTCTTACAAGGACCTTCTCAAAGAGTAATGCCGCACTAAATTGTAGCATATATATCCTTAGCAGATAATTTTTTTTTTGAGAAGTTTTTTGCTATAGGGCGTGTGCGCTTGCCAGACAGAGAGAGACAGAGAGACAGAAAGCGAGAAATCACTCCCCTAGGGGGGATGGCCACGCCGTGATCCCTTCTCCTCCATTCTCCTCCTGGGATCTTGGGCATGCATGCACACGCGCCCGGCATGAGTTTAAACCACCAGGTCCGGGACTCGAACCGCAGTCAACTACATGGGAGTCCAGCGACATAGCCATTACGCTAACTGCTGGTCCCCTTAGCAGATAAATTTTTAAGAAGTCAGTATTCAGGACAGCTCTGATTGATTGCTAGTGTCTAGATGTTAGAGTACTAAATTTTCAAAATTAAAAAAAAAAAAAAGAGAGAGAGAAAAAATCCAGGAGACATAAATTGGTGAAGTGGAAAACACAGTGCTCTAGGAGGCTGACCCACATTGGAAGGTTCCAGATTCAAGTACGGAGACTTCCCGAGTGTGCTGAGTGCTATGATGCCGATGATCTGGATCTGGCTAAGGGTGGCCATGGATTGTGGCAAAGGAATCCTGTTGATGGGGCTATTAGTCTGTCTCTCTCTGTCTCTTTCACTCATAGACACAATAAATAAATAAATAAACAAAATCCTGAAGCTCTGTCGGTGGGAATGAGAAATCTACCAGCCATGTCTGCCTTGGATTTTGGAAATATCATTGCCTTTATCATATTCTCACCACCTTTGATTCTTTGTATTCTTTCCAAGATGGTTATAGATACTGGAAAATCATGGAGTGGTAATATAGAAGAATACACTCAGAAATTTTTCTCTATCAAATGAATTCATTTCCAGTCATACAGTTAGTGAGCATTTAAAATTTTGCTTGCTTAAATGCATTATTGTACCATAAAGTTAGATGACAGTCTCCCTCTATGATCTTCCTCTAGTATGGCTGGATCATCACAGTTCTTATAATTACAAAAGACAGTGAAACTATAAATATTCAGAATAACTGATTAATAAACTCCACTGATTTATTGATTACCATTAATGAATAAAGGTCATTCAGAATGATGAAAACTTTTTCTCGGGGTCTGCAGATGGCATAGTAATTACATACCTGGATTTTCACATGGCTGGCTACAGGTTTGAGTCCCAGACCTACTGGCTTGAAACTCACACTGAATGCATGTACATGAGTGCCCAAGATCCTGGCAGGAAAAGGGATTGTGGGATGTCCATAACCCAAGTGGTGATTTCATACTTTCCCTCTTACTATCTCTGTTTCTTTCTCTATCTCTTTGGCGAATCACACATCCTAAGGCAAAACCTCTTAAAAAAAAAAAGGAAAAGAAAAGAAAACGCTCTCTTCCCTCAATCCCATTACATGGTAAAAAGATTTTTTTAATATTAAGATTTGATGAATTATTTATAAATGTATTTATAAACTTTATTCAGTGTAGATACTTTATATTGTAAGTTTACTTGAACAAAAACACTTAATCACCACATTAATTATAATTCATATTCATGATATCAAATTATAATTTCCTCATTCTATCATCTATGACAGGTTTATTTTCTATAAATATGCTCACCCATCACAACCCATACCACATGAATTAGTATTTTCAGAACAAGCACTTTCTAAAAAAAGTTCACATGGTTGATACTTTTGATGAATTCATGATCCACTTAAATCATAAGAGGACAAGCCCTTGCTCTTAACTCTAGGGGAAACCAACTTGTTTATTTTAATGATTCCCTCTGGGGCTTGTATATATATATATATAATTTCCTATCTCTTTTTTAATTTTTTCCTAACCCTCAAATGGATTTCCATGTATCTTTCTGGAGTTTTTTTTAAAAATAACCAATATATATGGAGAATCTCGCTGACGCTACATGTCTTTGAAGAGGTCACTCTTCTGCCAGAACTGGTAGGTTTAAATAGAAGTGGTGACAACATATTATTCTTATCATGTGGGCAACTGCATATGACAATTTAGTTAAGGAGCATCTGGACAAATGTTTATAGTTACAATAAGAGGCAAAAGAATCATTCTGTGACTGATAAATTCTGTATTCATTCCTTATCCTAGGGGTCAGTTTTATAATTCAAGTTGAAAATTTTGGAACATCAACTTGAATCATTTCTACCCATGGGGAACAAAAGGACTGAATGATTTACAGTATGATAACATCATGGAAAAATTGGATTCCTCCATGGCTAAGTTTTGCATCAATGATAAATCACTTAATAAAATTTCAGATTAGGAAAATTGAAGCATTGACTTATTGGTTTTAATATTAATTTAGTCTGTGTTCACTTTCTCATATTGAGTGTTTATTTTTATTTAGAAAATACTTATGGAATGCCATGTGAGATAAATGATTAAAATAAATCAATTATTTTCATTTTTGTTTAATTTAGACATTTATTTTGTTGATTAAACACATAGAAACTTTCAGTCAATAAAATTAATTGCACTACAAGTGTATTCATTTTTTATCATTTTTAAGGCTGTCTCCAGTTCTTTTGTTTAATTTTATTTATTATTTTTTTTTCCATTTTACCAGAGAGAGAAAGAGAGGGAGAGAGAGATAGAGGAAAATTGGGAAAGCAATTTGAACTGTAGTTGGCCAGGTAGGAGTCCAGAGCCTTACCCAAGATGTCACCTGCTGGACCCCCTGATCATTTTCAATCCAAAAACTATTCTCTATTTTTCTAAATCCACAGGCCCTTTTCTACCTACATCTTAGATGTTTTTCCCTACTTTATTAACTCAAGGAATGTATGAGAAAATTCCCTCTTTATTTATAATGTTGAGACCCTTTTTGAAAGGTACAGTGGATTCTTTTAGGTAAGACGATATCTACAGTGGATATTTTTGCAGAATATCTGATTTTTCAAATTTCAAACATTGTCTTGGTGGTCAGTGAACATTACTGTGTCATCTAACCCATAAAGGCT